GCGTGGGGGGGGGAAGATCGAGAGTCGGGGAGGGGAGATTGCGCGGGAGCGGGATCGGAGTCGCGACGAAGAAGACGAAGAAGACGAAGAAGAAAAAGAAGATAAGAAGAAGAATAGAACGAAGAGAAAGAAGAAGAAGAAGAAGGGGAAAAAAAAATAAAAATTGTCATTGATTACGTATCTGCGAGGAGGTAGCAACGACGATGACGAGGATGGCAAGGCGCGGTGACGAGGATGACGGGCACGACGATGGCGACGTGGCACAGCGTTGACGATCGCGACAGTGACAATGATGACGTGGCACAACGACGACCGTGACGATGACGATGATGACATGGTAGGACAGCGACAATCACAACCATGACGTGGCACTACGACGTCGATCACGACAATGATGCTGATGATGGCCAGGTGGTGAGGACGAAGGAGGGTGGGTCGGGTGGGTTCGAACCACTCCGATACCAGTGTGACGAGCGCGAGGCTGAGGGAGAGCCGAGGGAGAGGAGAGAGAGGGGAGAGAGAGGGGAGAGAGTGAGCACACACACACACTCACAAACTCGACACAACTGAGGGTCGGACGCAGACACAGTGGCAGTACAGAGTCAAAGTCTTGGATTCCGAATGCCGAAACAGCAAGTCACACTGAGTACGAGTACAGCAGCTGAAAACTGGTACCAGACTGGTCCCCGTACTGTATGGGGAACCGGTATAGGTACCGGTGACACGTACGGTACCAAGGGCATTTCCGCAAAAGCCTCGAGGGCAGAACTGAAAAAGGCGGTATTTGAAAGTGGCGCCCGAATTGCAGCATGGCGCCAGTTGTCGAAAATCCGACGGTACCAAAGGAGGGGTTTGGAAAAAAGGGTGCCAGGCCGAAAACGGGGATGCAGCAGAAACAGCAAAAAGATAGACCAGGGGTCGAGCCCTGGCGGAGTCCGTAACAGCGCATGCACACACACACACACACACACACAGAGCGAGAGCGCGAGAGAGAGAGAGAGAGAGAGAGAGAGAGAGAGAGAGAGAGAGAGAGAGAGAGAGAGAGAGAGAGAGAGAGAGAGAGAGAGAGAGAGATTCCATTACCCATCATATTTTTTTCGAGAGCGAAGGCGCAACAGGTCATCAAGTCTCAAGACAAATACAATGTTCATTGTACAATACATGGAGTCTCAGACAAATACAAAGTCCATAGTACAATACGTCCCAACTATGGGCAGCAAAAACAACCTCCATTGCCCAGGAAGTATGCTCATTTCACTTCCATTAATTGGCCAAGGTTGGTAGTTGTGAGTAGTTGTAGGTGTTTGCTTCTACTCGGCTCTAATAGGAGCATAATATGTGACTCATCTCCTTCAAAGGAAGGCCTACACCACAAGGGTCAAGGTGCAGCTGGGAGAGGAGTCCGAACAAAGGGGGAAGAGGCAGAGGGAAATGACAGCATGCAGCTGCACTTTCAAATCTCTCTGCTTGCACCATGCTGTTCAGAGGTTGAGATTGTATGGCTGTTCCGTATGCCATGTTCCTGCAGAATAGAAGTAAACATTGTGAGAGTGAGAGTTGTACTACAATCCTGCCTTTAAGCACAATTGTATGAAAAATTACATCTGGACAACCTGCATGCCTATCAGACAACCAGATCATAACTAGGGCCAAAACAAAGCATCTTCAGGATGAGATAACCAAAAACGGATTGACAGAGTCAGCTAATTGATGAAGTTTTTATCGAAGGTTCACGGGACTTACAAAACCCCAGACGGTCTGCCCAGTGAGCTCTGCGGGTAGCATTGACTTGTAGCGCCAATGCTGCCATTCGACAGGCCTGCAACAACACACAAAACACACTACGGCAAAGTCAGCACAAGATACAAGAAACTTGTTCTGCGCACATGCACCCTGGTAAGATGCCACATTCATTTCACCGGTTTCGCACAGATGCAAGTATCCTTGGTTGAAATCACATCCACTGAATTCCCAGCGCACGAAACCTCCAACCCTGCAAGCATTGCAGAGGCTTGAGGGTGGAAAAAAGCCCTCTTTGCACAGCTGCAGGGGAAAAGCAGGAAAAACAGATCCATCTCCTGAGCACACACCGCTTGTATGCTCAGGAAAGACCAACTAATCCATATGTCCAACCCCTTCAGCTGAACTACAGGCTTGAATCCAAAACGTGTAGTTACTTGGCCGGGGTGGTGATATGACTAGGAAAGATTTGGGAAGAGGGGTGCAGCAAAACCATGAGAAACAGAACCGTGGCTCACGTGCCTATCAAAAGGCTGCTGAGCTGTCTGCTAAATGAGCTCTGCAGTTGGCCTTGAAGGGAATGGTACCATGGCACTTCAGCGAATTGGAGATTAACATGGAGGTGACATAGGGAGAGAATTGACCAAAGCCATACACTGTTGATTACGTTGTCATAGGCGAGTTGCTTTACACACACACCCACACACCCACACACACACACACACACACACACACACACACACACACACACAGAGAGAGAGAGATCTGCAGGCCAGATCAGAAAGAAAAAAAGACTGCAGAGGGAGTTCTGACTGTAGGGGCAAGAAGCTCAATCTCCAGAGTGGGTGTGAAGGATCCCAATCATTTGGATTTTGGGGTGAAAACTATTTAGCAGCAATCCCCGTCACAAATGCAAAGTAGACAGAGTGTATCTTCTGCTTGGTTTTCATCACCAGACATCGGCTGACAGTAAGGGTGCTACCGTCTTCACCCAAATAGAGCGCCCAGTCATTATAGCCGTATTTGATGCAATTTTCAGTCTAGATACAGCTATAATGACCGGGTGTTCTATTCGGGTGAAGACGGTAGGACTACCAATTAGGTGTTTCCAGTGTCAAAAGTGGTGTTTGCTTAAACTTAAAGAACTGAAAACCTGAAGCAGGATGGCTACTCGCCCAGCGCTGATCGGGGATTTATTTCCTTACCAGACTCTTGGCTCTTATTTCAAAACCTGAAAACCTGAAGCAGGGCTGATCGGGTCTTATCAACTCCCATGCCTTTCAATTTAAACTCTCATTTGAAGTCTCATGGCTTTTGACTTCACCAGAGAGATGTTAAAAAAGCAAGAACTTCTAAATCCCAAAGGTAGGGTGTTCAACCCGCATTGGGTTCATGCCGTTTTCAATCTCTAGGCCTAGCAAAGGTTGCATCAAGTTTCATACATGAACCCCATGCCTGAATCAGCTCGTTTTACCCCAAACCGTACTGAAGATTTTAACCCCAACCAAAGTGAAGTGCCACTGCACCCGACAATTTAACGCCTCATCCACACCCCTTGATTCGATTCTTCAAATTTTTCTTTGTTGCTTCATTTTGCTGTCTGATAGTCTCTGAGCAAAACAACAAAAAGAAAGGTACGACCACTCCCCAATTTTGTCATATCACTCTCTGCCGTGGCCAGGCTTATCTTTTTTTTTTTTTTTTCCTAGATTCATGTGTGTCATCCTTGCGCAGGGGCCATGCTAATCTTCTCTGTATCGTTCCAATTTTAACGGATGTTATCTTAATGCAAGGAATATGAGTGTGAGCGATATACATAAAACCAAGTTGCGGAATCACACAGCTGAGCAAGTAGTAGTATCCCAAGTTGAGAGCAAATGCACCGAGAAAACCATTCATAAAGAGCAATACAACGAAGTATTGAGCCAATGTCCAAGCCCGTAGGCCACGCCAACACAGTATCCAGAGTCGCTCTCTCTGTCTGGCGTACAGCGCCCAACCTACTCTACCACACTATCCTACCCTACAGCTGGTTCACACAACAGGATCACTTCGGCTCACGAAGACCAATGTACATGACTGTCAACCCAATGGCGACCTCTCTTCATGTACCAGGTACGTATCTCGTCACCCTCAATCAGACCTTGATTATCCCACACAGCGCCTCACTCCCTGAAGATCACCCGATCATCCGCTGTACCCCCTGGCGCCTAGCAGCCCGGCTATGGCTGCCTGCGCCCCGCTGCCCTGCAGGGCCCCTCTCACCACCTAGCGCTCCGTCAGCACCCCTGGCATTAGCGCAGCAGCACTTCCGCATTGCCAGCGCTGGCCAGTGTGTCTGGCCTGGGCTGCCTCACTTCCTTTATGGAAGTGTCAGCCTCTTCGATGCTGCGTGTGGCCTGGCTGGAAGCTTCTAGAAGCTTCCGGTTGGGCCCCAGACCCTGTGCCCAGCCCGAGACTGACTTACAGTTGAGGGCCTGGGCCCTTTTCAGTTGGGCACGGCCTGGCTGTTGGCTGTATCTGCGCAGGGGCCCCATAGATGCGTCGGCAGTACTGCTTTTCCCAAAGGCCGACGGCCTGCTTCTCAATGTATCAGCCCTGCTTTGTGTGTATATGCCCAGGCACAACTTTCGTAGCCTGGGCCAACTGTACGACGCAGCTTAGTGAGGCTCGCGCGTTCACTCAACCAACTGACGCGCTGCGAGAGCCTGAATACCCACATATGGAAATGTCGAATTTGGTCTGTGACGAATATTCAGGCCCGCCTTCACTTAGGGCGGGCACTTGGCTTTCTGGGGCCTTAGCCCAGAACAATGTGATGTCTGATAGGGCCACTTGAGGGCTCGTTCCTCACATTCCATCCCCCTTAGCTTCAAAAGTCCGCTGAGATGCTTCATGCTGGTGCCTTCCCCTTCAGTTTCTTCTCATAATCTGCCACGATCTGAGGAGCTGTCTTGACAAGTTCCTCCCTTGAAATCCATCAATCTTCCTTCCGATCTGTATGATGCCTGAAATGTACTCTGTATTCCCTCGCAGGTTTGGGAGGTCTTCCCCTGCCAGGTGGCTTGGGAACAGGCGTGTCTCTGTGATCCAGAATCTCGTCGGCGTCCACGTGGCCATCCATGGTTGGGGGCAGCATAGATCTCCGTGATGGGAACTGTGTGACCAGGGATATGAATGACGTACGAGGGACCATCCAAATCATTCCCCACAATGTCTAGGACTTCCCAGGGACCGAAATACTGAGGCATTAGTTTCCTAGAGATTCCAAACTCCTGTCCCAACTCACTAGCCTTGACCCAGACACGTTCCCCTACCTGAAATGTGGACTGTCGGCGACGCTTGTTCTCAGAAGCAATCATGGCTTCCTGAGATTTCTTGATGTGTTCAACAGTGTGCTGCAACAGTTTCTCATACTGGACACCAAATTCAATGGTTCCAGGAGTTGCAGCAGTTCGGTTTTCAGGCAAGAAGGAAGTCTAGAGCAGATCTAGGCTTCCACCCGAGATGTAGTTGATTAGGACTGACGCCGGTGGTGCTGTGTACAACATTGTTGTACAGAGGTAATTTCTCATCCCAGTCATCATGGCTGGGCTTGATGTAATGCCTCAGCAGATGCTGCACCACTCGGTTCATCTGTTCAGCCTGCCCATTTGCTTCGGCATGATTCCCAAAAGTCATTTGAAGCTGGGTGCCCATCTGTTCAGCGGCCTTCTTCCACATCTCGCTTGTGAATCTCACATCTCTGTCACTAACGATTGTCTTTGGAAGTCCAAAGTCACGCACCCAGTTGTCCATGAACAACTTGATGACGTGCTCAGTCCTGGCAGTCTCTGGCATAGCAATTAGTCTAGCGTACTTAGTGAACCTGTCCACTATGACGAAAATGTGCCTCTTGCCATTCTTGCTGGTCACAAGAGTATCCATGAAGTCCATGGAGATACTCTGACCTGGGCCAGCAGGAATGGGTAAAGGCTTGAGTAACCCAAGCGGAGCTTGAGTTCGCGGCTTGTCCCGCTGACAGACCTGACAGGTCTTCACGTACTTCTTCACATCGTCAAGCATGTTAGGCCACCAGAATGGTTGTACTAGATTAGCACTAGTCTTCTTATAACCGAAATGTCCTGTTGCATCGTGGCACTCACCTAAAAACAAACTACGCAAAGTTTCCCTAGATGGAACAACTAACCTCTTGAACCCTGCTTTCTCAAGAAAGAGCAACCCATCCACCATCACAAACTCATCAGTGGTGGCCTCAAACAAATCAAACTCAGAAATCAGTGCACCTAGGTAATCTGCCCTCCTAGACAACGCATCTGCAACCTTGTTGTACTCTCCCTTCAAATAGTCTAGTTTGAAATCATATTGATCTATGACTTCAATCCAGCGTTTGAGTGCATCGAAGAGAACTGGTTGAGTCTTGATTCACTTGAGTGTCTGATGGTCAGTTCTCAAGTAGAAGAACCTTCCTAACAGGTAGTGCCTCCAGTGGACAAGTGCCTTGTAAAGAGCGTAGAGTTCCCTCTCGTAGGTGGACTTTGCTAACTTCTTTGAAGGCATCTTTTTGCTCATGTACCCGATCGGTCTCAACTTCTTCCCTTCCTGCTGAGCCAGCACTGCGCCAATCCCATATTGGCTTGTGTCAGTGGTCACAACGAATGGCCTTTGCGGGTCGGGTACCATGACAACCTCATGGTGTGTGAGAGCATGCTTTAAACGTTTGAATGCTGCCTCACACTCGTCGGTCCAGTCCCATGGTGTGTCAAGTCGAGTTAGATTAGTCAAGGGAGATGTGATCGTGCTATAATTCTTTACGAAATTGCGGTAATAACCACACATTCCCAAGAATGATCTGACCTCAGTCACAGAACGGGGTCGTGGCCAGTCACGTATGCTAGCCACCTTAGCATCTTCGGGCCTAATCCCATCCGCGGATACTTCATGACCCAAGTACAAGATTCGAGTGCGACCAAACCAGCATTTCTCTGAGTTTATCTTATACTTGTGCTGCCGTAGGAGTGAAAGTACTGTGTCTACATGCTGAGCATGCTCCTCGACAGATCTATTGAAGATAAGTAT